CATGGACGTTTTTTAACTGAAAAGAATTTCATTGGGGCTGCTGTTCTCTTTGACCATCAAATACAAGCAGTTGAAGGGACCTCCCTGTTGGTGCAAGGGATTAAGATGCAGCACTATGAAGCTATCTGCAGTCACTGCAGCACAAGTTCAATCCCCGGCGGGGAAAGTGACCCACATAGCACAACAGACCTCTCCTGTCTCGCCCGCTGCTCCCTTCAGCAGTGTACATCAGTCACTCTGCCTATTCTGTTCCCCACTCTGTCTCTGGTGAATCCTCTCAACCCCCACACCTCTGGCCTGCACCCCAGCTCTTGTATGCATAAATAAATCTTAAAAAAATTATAAGCAGTTGAACCCTCTCTCCAGAAAAAGGCACCTCCCCAGAATTTGTGTACAATTCCAGACATTTCACGGACTCCCTCATACCCATCCATCTAGCCTTGTATCTTGGAGATGGAAACCAGAGGGGCCGCAGGGTCTTGCCTAAGGTGACGCAGAGAAAATAACCAAATTCCAACTCCGTTCACCTGGTTCCCAATGCAAGACCTGTAACCAAGAGTGTGCAGTTTCCAACCTACATTGCACCCTCTATTGAGAATGATGGAACATCCAGGAGCTCAAGGCCAAGGAACGAGAACATGGCCTCCTGGAAACAAAGATCAATAAATAAGCAATATACCTGCCATAGATTCCTCTTTGGAAAGTAGATGCTAATGCCTTCCATTAATTAAGCCAGCACTTACGCGGCACCTATAAGCATCTCCTAAAATCTCTGAACATTAGGGGTTAATTATTTATTGGAAATTAATACTGTAATCTCAAACCTAAAGAGAATGTTGAGGTCCACAGGGTGATATTTTTGTGACTATGTTGCAGAACCCCACTCCAAGTAAGATGTGTGCCATGCTTGGTATTTACATAGGATTTTCATGCAAGAATGAAGTCTATTCATGAGGGAGACCATAGTTTGAACTGAAACATACCTAGTAGATTCTGTCATGGCCTCAGCTATTTTGCAGGAGAGCAAAGAAGCCCTAAGTCTTTGGGGAGTTTACAGTAACAGCTACTAAGCACATTTTTTTAAAGATTTATTTTTATTTATGCATACAAGAACTAGGGTGCAGGTCAGAGGTGGGGGGTGGGTAAGAGGATTCACCAGAGACAGAATGGGGTACAGAACAGGCAGACTGACTGAAATACACTGCTGAGGGCAGCAGCGGGCGAGACAGGAGAAGTCTGCTGCACCATGTGGGTTGCTCCCTGGCCAGCAATCAAACTCTGGCCACAGTGGCTGGCGATAGCTTGATAGCACTGAGACTTAACCCCTGCACCACTAGGGAGCACATACATTTTATCGGTAGCAGAAAGAAAACCAGATTCCAATCTCATCTTTCTGGAAAGAAGCAGGAAGCACTTTTGACTGATATTTAGCTTCTCAGCTGGGTGCTAAGAGGCAGACTTTATCACGGGAGATGCTGGGTGTGAGGCTGGAGACTTGCCCTGAATCTGAGCTCCTCTGGGACTGACTAAGTGACATTGGACAAAGCTCTCAGCCTTGGTTATTTGCTTTGAGCCTTGTTTTTCTCATCTGAAAATTGGGAATAATAACGCTATCCTGATAATGTAGCTGTTGAGTGAACAGAAATGATTTCTCTCCCTGACTTTATCATCTAGTCTTTCTTCTGTAGGAAATACAGAGCTTCCTCAATTTATGACAGAGATCTGTCCCCACTAACCCATCCTAAGTTCGGAGACATAAGTCAAAAATTCAGGTACGACCCATAGCCTCAGGGGCTGTCACAGCTTAACCTACCCTAAACATGCTCAGGGCATGGGGATCAGTCCACAGTGGGGCAGAATCATCTAGCACAAACTGATATTGTAGTGAAATTTACAAACTGATACTGTAGTGATATTGTAGTGAAATGACACAAGCTACTCAGCAGGTAGCTTGTGTCTTTCACTGAATACTGACCATTAGTGAAAAGCAACCATTAGAAGTGAAAAGCAACCATTAGAGGATGGTTATTCACACCCCTGATCTCATGGTTGACTGGGGGCGGGGAAGCTTCCACTCTGTCTACCCAGCAGAAGAATGCATCATACTGCCTGTCATGAGCCCTGGGTAGAGACCAAAATTTAAAAATTGAAGTACTGTTTTTACCAAATGGGCATCGTGAAGCCATCCTCAGTCTGGGGCCTTATGAGAATAAAGTCTGTACTTATTCTCCCTAGCACGTTGGGAGATGCAAGATGCCTCCTTCAGGGTGGGAGCTCAGCACTCCTTGTCTTTGTAGCCCCCAAAACCTGTTGCAGCACTTTATCTGCAGTGGGTGTCAGTCCGGAGGCCCGAACAAAACAATAATCTGAACGGGGGAATATAATGTGTACATAATTATTCAACCTTGGTAGGAGTAACTAGAAAGACATAGAGAGGGCCTCCCCGGTGGCGCAGCGGTTGAGCGCTGGGTTGCAAAGCTGCCCGCAGCCTCTGCAGCGCCGGTTCGATCCCCGGCTGCTCCCTGGCCCTCATGGCCTCCCACATGGCGCGCAGACCTCTCCTGCCCGCTGCTCCCCTCAGCAGTGTGCTTCGGTCCTTCTGCCTGCTCTGCTCCCCGCTCTGGCTCTGGTGAATTATCTCACCCTCCCGTGCTTCTGACTGTACCCAGTGCTTGTACAAATAATAAATAAAAATAAATCTTAAAAAAAAGAAAGACATAGAGAATCTTCAAGGTACCTGAGGTTGAGGGAGACTACCTGAGGGTGAACGTAGCTGGGAGGGACCCCTCTCCACAGTGGGGGTTCAGACGTCCCTGGAGAAGTTACGCTGAAACCCAGTGGTAGAGGTTTTCTAGGTTGCCTGAGACAAAGGTGGCCCACAGATGCTGGGCAGCCAAAAAGAGCCCTCTGGGTGCAGGTGAGATGAGACTGATGGGCAGGTGGTGTAGTCAGGTGCCACTGCCCCCAGCAGGGGCTTCGGGGAAGGCCAAGATCAAACATCTGGGCACTGTGGGCGCACAAGCTGGGTCAGAGCACGGCTGAAGCCCCAACTACCAGCGCTGGTGCAGGAGCAAGTGCCAAGCTTGGAAGCGAGCCCCCTCTTGCCACAGGGCCCCTCAGCTTCATGTAGAGTTTGGTAGAAAGGAGCAGTGCACTGGCTGGTCCTTGTCTCAGAGCAGAGACTGGAGGGTGAATTTGGAGCTGAGTGGCAATAATGTGATAACTGATGCAATTGGTCATCAGAAATGTGTGAATTAAATTAGGAGAATCCACATAATCAGTCAGTAACTCCCATCACCCCAGTTTATTTCCCCTGCTTTCAATGCCATAAATTTTACCACCAATAAATGTCAGGCCTCTCTAACTTCTTTTGTAATTTACTCTCTAGAAGCTCATTTCCCTCTGGGGGGTTCTGTTTTGTTTTGTTTTTTTAATGAACACATACCTTTCTCCTCTTGGCACACACTTGAAAGAGCACAGAGGGAGGGAGAGAGAGGGAGGAGCCAGAGCAGGGGAAAAGGAAAGGGGAGCAATGCCAACAGCCTGAGACCCAGTATTTCATTTCACAACTACTTCTCCACTCAAACTTGAACTGTTGCCCCACCATCTGTCTCTCATTTCAAAGCAGTCCACCTGTCCCTCCCGAACAGTTTAGGTGACTTACAAAGCTCTGGACTTCCAGTGGCTGAAGGAGTCAGAGCTGATCCAAGAATCTTTCTCTGTCTTTAAGGAAAAAGCAGTGTCCCCCAACTCCCCTGTGCTCAGAGGAGTTAATCTCAGTGGGCAAATCCAAAGAGTCTAGTCTCCAGTCATCTTAGGAGACAGGTGATAGAGCCTCCAGCCCACGTCAGGATAATTCCAGGCACAAATATTATTCAGTTAGTGTTTGGAAAGGGTGATGGTTTCAACTTGAGACTCACACCAAGGAGAGTGGAGCGTGTGAAGAGCCTGCAGACGCTGGCCTGCGGGAGAGTGTGTAGGTTACCGGCACCAGATGTGTGCCAGGCAGTGTTCTTTGGCGCCCACCACTCTGTGCTTCAAAAATATCTCATTCTCTTCTGAAGCATCAACTTTAATTAGTGTTAACAGATGATTCCCCTATAGGAATTCGCTAAACAGTGTGGTGAGGGTACAGTGAAGACTTCCTCCTAGACTGAAGTGCTTCTGCAGATTTAATCTAGTCACCATCCTTCAACAGGGCTGGGAAGATCATCCCTTTAGACTAGAAAAATAGCAACACGAAAAATGATCTATCAACCAAAATGTCTATCTAGATGATGGGACTGACTGTCTGACATATTTCTTTGCAAGTGATCGACATTCTGGGCCAGCAGGACCGAGAGTGGCCTGGCAGAAAGTCCTCTCGGTATCTTTCCAAACTCTACCTTCTACCCCTGTGTTTTCCAGAGAAATCATGCTTTTAAATGATCAAGAGTAATATTAGTGTTCATCTCTGGCGAGGGGGTGTGTGGAAGATTTTTCTTTTCTGTTTATCTGTATTTTCTGCAATGAGTATTATTTGTAAAATTTTATATATATAAAATTTATATATACATAATATATATTTTTTAAAGTCTACCTTTTTCTTCTCTAAATCTTGAGCTGTACTACTGCTTTTTGTTTCATATCAATCCAGGCCCTTTCCAGACTATTCACTCCCGCCACCCCCTGCCTGATTACATTAACTGCCAAAAATTAACAGACTCCATTTTTGGAAGAGATTTATCTCTTCTCTTCTTGAACTTCTAAAAACAGCCCACTTTCTCTTCTAGCCCTTACCAAGCAGAGATTGAAGCTACACCTGCCTCTGATGTGATGAATAAAAAGCCTTTCATGATTCTTGCACATTCTGAGGCAGGTGGAAAGACCAGCCAGGGGCACTGAGCCATGTGAAGATGCTCTGTGGGGTGTATTTCTGCCTTGGGCATGGCTGTGCCAACCTGCGGGCACCTTGAGGATAACACCTGGTATCACTAACCTTTGATATGTTGTTCTTTCAGATTTTTGACAATGAAGCCAAAGATCTAGAGAGAGAAGTTTGTTTTATTGATATTGCCTGCGACGAAATTCCAGAGCGCTACTACAAAGAATCAGAGGTAAGGGATTGCTGGAGTGACCTGCAGAAGAGATTCAATCATTCATTTATACATTCACTCATTCATTCATATATACATTTCACCGACATATGCAGGAGACTTCCTCTGTCTTTATGTTGGTTCCATTTGCTTTCACATCATGCTGGATTCTTTAACTTGGGTCTCAAAATGAAGTGTCTTCTCCTCCAGGCCCACCTTTGGCCCAGCTGCCCCTCAGGATTCTTCCTGGTTCCTGGTTCCCCAACTCTGCCATCATTCTGGGCAGCAAAATATTCACATGCCTGCCCCATCGAACATACTGGTCTCTCTAAAAAACAGCAGCCACCTCTGCCTTCTGTTTGGCTGGCCCTCTATATAAGCAGTCTCCCCCAGGATGTTCCTAGAGGGTGAGGGGCTGTGTTTCACTTGTGTCTTTGGGGTCTCATACAAAGAAAATGCTCAATCAATGCTCTGAATGAATGGGGAAATTTTTTTTTTTTAAGATTTTTTTGTTTATTCATACAAGAGCTGGGGTGTAGGCCAGAGGTGTCGGGGTGTGAGAGGAATCATCAGAGACAGAGTGGGGAACAGAACAGGAGGATCTACTGAAATAGCTGAGGGGGGCGAGACAGGAGAGGTCTGCTGCGCCATGTGGGTCAGCTCTCTGGGTGGGGTGCTGCAGTGGCTGGTATAGCTTCATAGTGCTGACACTTAACCCTTGAGCCACCAGGGAGGCCCAGAACAGGGAAATTTTAACAGTTGATCTCAGCACCAAAGCTTTCTCTCAAAACAGGAATCACCTCCACGAGGTTTTCTCCTTTTTCTGTTCCAACTGAAAACAAATTTAAGAGAAGAACTTTCCTCTGTGACTTCTACCCAACCAGAAGCCTCTGTTTGCCTTAGTCCAACCTTTTTGTCTTACTATTGGTGCCCAGAGCTGTTTCTGTCCTGTTAGTATATTAGTAATGGCCGCTGGCGGAATTTGGGTGACCCCCCCCCCTTGTAAATAACGTCCCAGCACAGTGATGGCAACAGATGCTGGGCTATTTTGGTTGTTGAGCAACATGCAGTCATTCACAGTGTGTTTGGACTCGGGGCCCCAGACTCGCCCTTGAGCCGTAACACATGGACCTTGAAGCTCTCCTCCCAGATCCAGGAGGCTGATTTAAGACCCGGTAAATAAACACATTAAAAATGAATCTGGGGGGGCCTCCCTGTTGGCGCAGTGGTTGAGCACTGGGTTGCGAAGCTGACCGCAGCCTCTGCAGGGCCGGTTCGATTCCCGGCTGCTCCCCGGCCACCAGAGGAGGGTCCCACATGGCGCGCAAACCTCTCCTGCCGCCCGCTGCTCCCCTCAGCAGTGTGCTTCGGTCCTTCTGCCTGCTCTGCTCCCCACTTTGGCTCTGGTGAATTCTCTCACCCTCCCACGCTTCTGACTGTACCCAGTGCATGTATAAACAAAACAAACAAACAAATAAATAAATAAATAAAACATGCCTCTATTAAAAAAAAAAAAATGAATCCGGGGGGCCTCCCTGGTGGCGCAAGGGGTTAAGCATCACACTATGAAGCTGTCCGCAGCCTCTGCAGCACAAGTTCGATCCCCAGCCAGCCAGGGAGCAGCCCACATGGCGTAGCAGACCTCTCCCGACTCACCCGCTGCTCCCCTCAGCAGTGTATTTCAGTCAATCTGCCTGTTCTGTTCCCCACTCTGTCTCTGGTGAATCCTCTCACCCCCATGCCCCTGCATCTCTGGCTTATACCCTAGCTCTTGTATGCAAAAACAAATAAATCTTTAAAAAAAAAAAAAAAAACAACAATGAATCCGGCCATTATACAAAGTAGGCTCCCAAGGTGGCTCGGATTCTTTTACTCCACATTTGGGGATTTGTTTGGATATAAAAGTCTAACTTGATCTCAGCAAAAGCTAAGCTGCTTAATTGCAGGCATGTGCTCCGCAGCTGCTGGCCCTTCAAAAACTGGGGAGAGGCTGCTGGGAATTACTCAGTTCGATTCCAAGGCTGAGCTTTTTACCATCATTGGTTTACGTGACACTCTTATTGTCAAACCTACTGGTGAGCCTGCAGAAAAAGTGCACCCTGCACAACTGTGGACCAGCTCAAGGGGAGGAGGAACTTGACCTCCCCAGAGAAAACTTGGTCTTCCTCTTCAAAGGTTCTTCTGTGATTGCACATCCAGTCCACCATTGCTTATGGGGCTTTGACGCTGTTAGTGTGTCATGCCACAACGGGGGGAAGCTGTCACCCCATCTCTTCTATGGGCCTGGAGGGAGAAGGCTGTTGTCCTGGCTACTTCGGGAGCTCTGGACCTCTCAGGAAGGCTGTGTGGCCAAAAAGTCATAAGCTAATTTCAGCTGTTCCTCTGCAAGTGCTCTGAGTATTAAAGAATTCCCACCTAACTCAGTAGAGAGTCAAATGGATGTTAACGGAGACACCGGCAAGTCTCACTTCTAGTCAGCCGGTGCTCACCCACGCCTTGTGCTCTGTGGCCCAGGAACCACCTTGGGGGGCTTTCTCCACATCCAGGGACATTTGAGGGGCTTTGTCTTCATGCTTCACTATCATTCGTTTCCCCGGGTCATAAGGTGTTCTGTTCTGGATACAGACTGACCAAGGAAATGAGAGTTACCTACGTTACTGGCTATCTAGATTAGATGGTGACTTGAACTAGAGGACTGGCTGTAGAGATGAAGGAGAAAGGATGACTTTAACATATGTATATGGTTTATATAGTTTTAATATGTGTATAGTTTCTATAGATAGAGGCATATATTGACAAAAGGAGTTTATAATAATCTGTATACCTCCTGTATACATGGCAGTGACCCCTGAGTAAAGCCTGAGTATCTCCTTGAAATGGGTTAACTCATCTCCTTAAATAATAGAGATATGTTTTATAGACAAGAATTGGTCATGGACTGCATGTGAAGGTGGGAGAGAGGAAAGAGTCATTAGGACCTTAAGGTTATGGCTTGGGCAATAGGTAGGTAGACCGGGGTGAGAAGAGGGATAGATTTTGGAGAAAGTTGGATGGGTGGTTGGATGGATAGATGGATGGATGGATGGATGGATGGATGGATGGATGGATGCATGGATGGATGGATGGATGGATGGATGGATGGATGGATGGATGGTTGGATGGATAGATGGATGTTGTGCTGTCAGTGAGACATCTAGAACAAATAGAAAAAAAGTCTGGAACTGGGATGAATGATCGGGATTGGAGACAGGTTTAACAAATATTTAAATTCTGGGGAGGGATGAGGGAGAAAAAGTATCATGGAAAAGGGGCTCAAGTCAGGACTTTAAGGGATGAGAGCATTTGGGGATCAGGAAAAGTCAGCTACAAAGAATGGGTCAGAGAGTTTGAAGGAAAACAAAGAGAGTGCACTAGCAAATGCAAGTTCAAGAGCAGGAGTCTGGATGCTGCTGAGGAAAGGAGTGAAATGAGACTGGCAAGCTCTCCTCCAGCGCAGCGTCTCCAAGCATGGGGTGCGAGCTGCACGGGGATGCAGCATCTAGGGACCATTTGGTTGTCACAACTTGGAGTGTTACTGGCAAGTAATGGTTAGAGACCAGGGATCCTGCTAAACGCACAAAGGATAACTGGGTCCCATGTGTTGGTAGTGCTAGCTCTGGGAAAGCTGGTGGTAGAGAAGTTTATTGAAAATGAATGGAACTCAGATTTAGCTCTCAGACTCAGGGCCACCCCCTGCCTGTCCTGGAGTCTTAGGATTATTGCGAGTGTATGAAAAAATGAAACCCAGAGGGCTCAGCCCTGCACATGCATTGCCCCAGAGGATCACCAGCCTACGCGACAGGTAGAACCTTCCTCACCAAGCCCTGCAGTGAGAGCACCGAGGAAAAGGCATAATCTCAGGAGAAGTACACCCCATGGGACCCTCACTCCACCCTCCTTTGACTTCCACAGGCAGGCTGCATTATGCACCCTCCAGAAGGGAGAGAAGTTAGTCTCCAAGGCCACTTTGGTTATGTTGTGAATATCATTAGCCAGAGACAGAGAATAAGGGAAACAAAAACAACCACCTCAGAAGACAAACCATTTCCAAACAAATTGCTTCTCAGCACACAGTAAATCATTAACGTCCTCCGCTCCACCCCTACGGTTTCCTTCTAAAATGAAATCTGACCTTTTCGTTTTCTGCTTAAAACCCCTCCTTGGCTGGGAGGAAGCACAGTCCCTTAGGATGACCCTCCACCTCCCAGGGCTCCCCTACTCCCAGAGCTCCCCAGCTGGGTGGCGCCACCCAGCTGGGGAGCATCTAACCATCCTTGTTAGAGTTCAGCTGAATGTTGACTTCTGTGTGGGCCTTGCCAGACACCCCACTCCCACCCACCATCTGGAAGCCAGCAGAGTTCTGATCTGGGGCTTCTAGCTCGCACCGACCTCAGCAGTAGGACAGCGGCACATAGCAGATGCTCACGAAACCATTGTTGAATGAATGCATGAGAGCCGGGGGCTTTCATTTTCCTTCCAGCAGTGACAATGTCAGAACCAGCGCTGTGAACGAAAATGAATCTGTTGCCATTAAGCTAACTGTTGTGAATCTACTCCCTCTTTTTTTATCCGAAGCACACAGCTTTTTACCAGCTCTTTTCCCCAATCCATCTTTATAAGTTGACTATGTCGGCATCATAAATAGGAACACGTTGTCTGTGCAGAAAGCTGAAGGACTGGTGGGCAGAATGTGTCGCGAGATCTTTGATGCTTATGAATTCAGACCAGGGTTATCTGCGTCACCGCTCTCTGCAGCTCCCATCACACACCAGCCAGGCCAAAGGAGGGGATTGCAACACTTTCTTTTCTTTTTTCCATTTCTCCCCAGAAATTTCCAAACCCTACAGTCAAGAGCACCAGTCTTGTTAAGGTGACTGGAGCTGGGAATTTTCCGCAGGGTGCCCTCTGCCTGGCAGCCCTCATACCTCCAGGGACTGGGAAGGGCACTTGGAGGCCTGGGATCAGCTGAGAGCCCAGCACAG